CCCCTCCCTCAGCTCCCCACGCCCCTCAGCTCTCCTCCCTCCAGACCCTCGGAACTCCCGGCGCAAAGGCGGGGCGGCGGCGGGGGGGGGTTCGCCCCTCCATCCCGGCCTCCACCCGAGCCCAGACTCCATCTTTCGGCCTGGGGCTTCGCCTCCCAGGCCGTGCGCTCCCGGGGCTCTTCCCCTCGGGTCTCTGCAGAGCTCGTGCAGCTCCTGAGCCCTGGATGAGGGTGGGGCGGGCGAGGTGGGGGGCGGGGGGGGGAGCAGAACCCCTTTGCGCACGCTGCCCCTTCCCACCGTGCGCCACGGCAGCCCGAGAGCCCCTTTCCCATACCCTGCGGGCCCCCCACCCGAGCCCCTTGCTTCCCCGTCCTCTGGGTGAACAGGCACACACCCTCTTTCTGTCTGTGCCAGGGGGAGGATCTTGGAACAGGGGCCCCCAAGAAGCTGGGCAGCGCGGGGCTGGGGGGGTCCCCTCCATAGGCAGAGCATGAGAGGTGGTTGAGGGAGGAGAATCTCAGAACAGGGCAGAGTGAGTCAGGCACCAACACTGAAATTACAAACCCCAACACCCCCCCCCGCCGCACACCCCAATTCCCCTGACTAGAAGGCATGGCCCCCCTCGCCCCAGTCCCCAGGGCAGCCTACAATGCCTCCTCTCTTCCTGCTCTCAGGACCCACAGTGACCACTTTAGGTTCCTATGAGGTGTCTGAGAGCTGTGAGAGGAAGAAGGGCCAGCGCTGGGGGTCTCTGGAACGGCGCGGGATGCAAGCTATGGAGGGTGAGTTCTCGGAAAAGGCTTTTTGCTCATCCCTCATCCATTCCCTTTCATCCTTCCTCCCAGAACCCTTGGGCCCAGCTCTCTCTCCATTCACCTTAGGCCCCTCCTCCCTGGCTGCCAGGCTCCAGCCCTCCCCAGGGTCCAGACACTGATGAAGTGTCTCTTTGGAACCCTAATTGCCCAGCTAGCCAGATTGTGTGTCCTGGGGAAGCTGCCAGGTGGAGAAAGAGGCCTTGTTGGACACAGCTTTGAAGCAGCCTTTCAGCAGGGGGTTTGTTCTCACTGCCTGTCGACCCAGATCCCAAGGCTGTCTCTTATTTTAAAAGAGCAAGGACACGGACATGTGAATCTTCTCTCTAGGGCCACCACTGGTAACTTCTCATAGAAGCCTGTGGTTTTGGTTCTCTAGACTATCTTACTGCTTGAAAGAGTGTGAGGAGGGGGCGAGGGGAGAGAGAAAGGTGCAGCCAATTTCCCAATACCCATGCATCTCTCCCCACTACACCCATGTGACATGGGGCTGCTGCCAGCACATTTCCCAGGTCTTCCCATAAAGTGTCTCCAGCCCCCTCTTCACATTTAATATGCACATTTAAGGGGTCCCACATGGAGTCCCACATGAACTATACAAAGTAAAACCAAAGACTCCGAATTTCAAAACAATACAATCACCACCAGACAAGATTTTGCTATTTATAGGAACTGCATTGCAGTAAAGAAGGGGGTGCTCATCAACCAGAAGCGGGGACCAGCACCAAGCCCCCATTTTTAGAAATATACTAAGATAGCAGGCTTTCATTTGCATACCTGTTCAACCTAAGACCTACCCTGGAAACCATCTTGGGTCAGCAGGAGAGAGGTAAACCTCATGGCATCCCCAGGGGAAAGCCAGCTGGATCTTATAGCACATTTTTAAAAAGGTATTTGATAACATATATTTGAAAAGGCCCCAGTATTTGTCCAGTAAAACACTTGGATTTATTTTATTCAAGTCTTTTCTTTCTTTACCTACTGATAGCAACACTTTCTTGTTATGGAAAGGCTAATGTCTCACAAGCCACCTGAATAATTATTTAGCTGTCTACAAACCCTCGGACTGAAAATTGCCTCATTTGGCATAAAGACACATCAAGAGTCTGAACCACCACCTCCTCCCCCTCCCCCTCTTCTCTCTCCCCCTCTTCCCCCTACCCCTTTTCCTCCTCGTCTTTTCCTCCTCCTCCTCCTCCTCCTCTTCCTCCTCCTCCTCCTCTTCCTCCTCCTCCTTCTCCTCCTTCTTCTTCTTCTTGCTATATCAGCCTTGAACATGCTTTACAGCCTTGCTTTAGTTACTTTTCTGGTAGGATCTCAAGTTTTTGCCTGCAGTCAGCTTGTCCTTTATCAACTACTTGTTCTGCCACCCAGAGACTAAAATAGAAATACCAGGTATCCTTGTGCAGGGTTCTCATGGCTGAGCCAGCACCAAGGTGCTCAAAGGCAGCAGAAAGGGGCCACCAGATTCAATACTGGATCCCTGCAGATCTTGAGAGGGGAAAGGGAAGCCTCCAAACTTGACCCTTACACCAGAGAACTCTTCATGAGTATGGATCCTACCTGGGGCTCCTTGGGGGACACCAGGTGGCACTCTTCTATCATCTGGGTCATGGGGTAGCGAAATGGAAGGCTCTGGAAAGATAGGTACTAACTCTCTGGGGGGATGGGGATTCTTTTAGGGGAGGTGTTACTCCCAGCTCTGTATGAGGAAGAAGAGGAGGAAGAGGAAGAGGGTGAAGAGGTGGAAGAAGAAGAACAAGTTCAGAAGGGCAGCAGTGTCAGCTCTCTGTCAGTTGGCAAGCACCGGGGCCTGAGCCTCACGGAGACAGAGCTGGAGGAGCTGAGGGCTCAGGTGCTCCAGCTGGTGGCAGAGCTGGAGGAGACTCGTGAGCTGGCAGGGCAGCATGAAGATGACTCCCTGGAGTTACAAGGTAAACGTCTGTGACCAGGGTAGGGGGCTCAGGGCCAAAGGCTTTGGTTTCCCCTGAATCTGAGCCTAACACCCCTTCCCACTGCAGGACTCCTGGAGGATGAACGACTGGCCAGTGCCCAGCAGGCTGAGGTGTTCACCAAGCAGATCCAGCAACTCCAAGGTAATCCCCTGATTTGGACTGAGGCAGGGGTGGCCATATTCACTGCCACCAAGTCTTTTTTCCCCCTGAAACATAGCAGTATTATTGCCTTGCTTTTCTTTTTCTTTTCTTTTCAGTCATGGGACTTGAACTGTGGGTCTGGGCGCTGTCCCTCAGCTATTCAGCTCAAGGCTAGCGCTCTACCACTTGAGCCACTTCTGGTTTTCTGAGTGGTTTATTGGAGATAAGAGTCTCACAGCCCTTCCTGTCCAGGCTGGCTTTAAACCACAATCCTCAGATCTCAGCCTCCTGAGTAGCTAGGATTACAGGTGTGAGCCACCACATCCGGCTTGCCTTGCTTTTCTTGACCATTCTTATCCTTCTCTTCTCCTTGTCCCTCCATTTTCCTCATTCTCCAATTTCCTTTCTTTGTATCATTACCTGGCTCCTCTATCTTCCTATTCCCTTACCCTTCTCTTTTACAAGTATCCCAGGCTCCCTCTTTCCTTTCCCTTCCTCAGCCCCCTCCTTGACTCCACATCCCTTGTTCTCTGTTCTCCTGGTCAAGGAGAACAAGGGTTGGTGATTAAGATTTAATTCTAAGCTAGATTTCATTTTCCTTCCTGTCCCTTAAAGGAAGCAGGAAGCCAATGCAGTGTGACTGGAGGACACACAATACTTCTTTAAAAGAAAGATGAGAGTGCTTCTTGGGCTCCCTTGGAGCTGAGCTTGTGCCCCCCCCACAAATCCCTCTTTTCCAATGCCCATGTTCCTTTGTCTCTGGAAAGCAACAAGGCAGGCGTCCTACATTCCACTGCTGCCACCAAATCAAGAGGAAGCTTTTGTTACTTTTGTGGGTTTCCAGAAAGTTTAGAGGAGTTGCCCTAGAAAGCAGCAGGGATTCTGTAGGTAGAACTAAGATCAAACCAAATGAAATGTATAAATGGGGAAAAAAAAGTCCTGGAGAGGAGCAAGCAAAGCAAAGAGTGGGAGAGAAAGAGAAGCGGAGCTGCAGGAAGTGTGGCAATGAAGAGGAGAAAAATGGCAGGAGATGTATAGCAGGGTAAAGAACACATGCGTCGGTCTCAGATCACTTAAATTCTTAGGCTAGCTCTACCACTTATAAATTTTGTGATCTTGAGCAAGCCATTTTTATCTCACTGAAGCTTTGTTTCTTGCCTGTAAAATGGGCTGAATTCATTTGATGATCAACTATTTATTATTTATTGAAAGTCTTTGTATTTGAAGGAATAGCTATGAACAAGATAAACAAAATCCCTAATGATAGAAGATTCTAGCTGCACTTTGGTGACTTGCGCTTGTAATTCTACTTGAGAGGCTGAGATCTGAGAATTTAGGTTCAAATCAACCAGCAGAAAAAGTCTGTGACACTCTTACTCCAATTAACCAACAAAGCCAGAAGTGGATGTGTGGCTCGAGTAGTACCAGCCTTGAGTAAAAAAGGCAAGAGAGAGAGCCAGAGATTCTGAGTTCAAGCCTCACCTCTCTCTCTCTTTCTCTCTCTTCCTTCCTTCCTTCCTTCCTTCCTTTCTCTCTCTCCCCCTCTCTTTCTCCTCTCTTTCTCTCTTCTCTCTCTCTCTCACACACACACAGATTCTGGCAGAAAATAAATAAGTAACAAGTTCAGATGTTATTTGAGTGAATGAACACAGTATAAAAATATAATAAATGGAAAGGGGATTATATAGAAGTTTATTTTAGATTAGCCTGAAAAGTCTTCTCTGAGAAAATGATGTTCAAACTGGATAATGAGGAGCCAGAAATTAGAGATCTGAAGGAGAAACATTCCAGGCCCAGAGGTGAGAATGAGGTACAGAAAAAAGGTCACTGTGGCTGCAGAAAACTACACATGAAGTTGACCATGGAAAGATAAAATTCTGAGAGCCAGGAGCGGCAGATTACCATAGGCCTTGTAGGCCAGATGAGAGGTCTAGATTTCATTTTAAGTGCATCAGAAAACCATCAGAAGTTCTTAGAGCTAGGGCTCAGGTGTTATGATCTGTTTTACATTTTTAGGATCTTTTTTTGTTAGGTAGGGGGTGTGTGTGCACACATGCATGAACATGTGTGTACATACACTTTGGAGATGGAACCCAGGACTTCGCATGATAGGCAAATGTTCTACCATTAAGCTATAGCCCCAGCCCTTTGCTCTAGCTTTTTTTTTTTTTTTTGGTCAATTGGGGGCCTGAACTCTGGGCCTGGGCACTGCCCCTCAGCTCTTCAGCTCAAGGCTAGCGCTCTACCACTAGAGCCACAGCACCACTTCCATTTTTTTCTGCTTATGTGGTGCTGAGGAATAGAACCCAGGGCCTCATGCATGCAAGGCAAGCACTCTACCACTGAGCCATATTCCCAGCCCTGCTCTACCTTTTAAAAGAGCACTTTGACCATTGTGTGGAATCTGGATGGAGGGAAGAGTAGAAACAGTACTGTCAGGGACATGAAAGATGTCATTATCCAGAGGAACTGGGTGAATGGTGGCATTGTTTATTGGGATGAGAAAGTTGGCAAGAATCGAGTTTTGGGATTAGGGGACCCACTTAAGATATTTTCTACCTGATGAGTTTGACATATCAGTGGCTATGAAGGAAGCAGTTGGGTATAGAAATCCGGAACCAGGGGAGATATCAAAGCTGAAAACAGAGACAACATGACTGCCCTGTACATGGAGAGATTCCAGATAAAGAGAGAAAAAGGTCCAATCCCAGACACATTCCCATGTTTAGAGATCCAATATAGAAGAAGTAAATGAGAGAAACTGAAGTAGAAGGAATTCTTAAAGTATGCCATGCCCTGGAAGCCGAGAGCAGAAAGTGCTTTCAGAAGATCATAAACCAGAGTGCACACAGCTGCTAAGGCAAGTGAGATAGATGGCCATTGGAGTTGGCAAAGTAGAGAACCCGGAGACATTTCAGTGCAAACACAAGCTGATTGAATGCATTGAAGAGAAAAATGGGAAGTCAAGTGGAGAATGTGAGTACAGGTCACACCTTATAGTCATTTAAGAGAAGGTGAAATGGGGTAAAGGTAGAGGGGTGTGTGTTTAAGATAGGACCAGTTGGATCTTGTTTGCATGATAAAGGAAAAGTTCCAGTGACACAGGGATTGAAAATGATGCCCTTTGCTTGGAGAAGGAATCTTCCTTTCCAATAAGTGGGAAGCCTGAGAATCTAAATGGGTGGAGCACCTATAAGACCCTGAACTCAAACTCCAGCACGCTGCAATGGATCAGTCAATAAGCAAACTAATGCTCTGCCAGGGAAAACAGCAGGGTTGTTGCTAGGGGTTCTAGCGCATGTAGATCTCATCTAGACCAGGGCCTGAGGTGGGCGTCACGAGCTCCCAGCCCTACCTGGCCAGAGGCTCTTGAGCCCATCCTGGCGCGCACGCGCGTTGCCCGTTTCCGCCAAGAGGGTGCGCGCGCGGCTCCAGAGGTATCTGGCGTTCAGAGGCCGTTCGGGCCGCCACAGCCCCTTTGGGGCCGGGACCGGCCGGTCGGCGGGAGGCCCCCCATTGAAACCGCTTGTGGGGGGCCGGCGAGATGGAGGCCATAACCAGTGAGTGAGAGTCGACCTCTCCGCCCCAAAGCCGGATTCCTGAGTTCTGAGCCTCGCCCTGAAAGACCCATTCCCCCCCAGTCAACCGGCGCCAGCCCTTTAGAACCTTCCTCCGGCCTTCCCAACTCCCGACCCCTCCGGGTTCTGGCTGGGCCTCACCCCACAGGCCTCCACACCCTCGCTGTGTGATCCATGATCCGCGGATCCATGATCCGCGGTGATGAGAGGGCCGTTTCTACAGCCAGAATGGAATCCAGACACCAAGGTAGATTGGGAGCTGGAGGTAGATCTGTCCCCTCCCCAGGCTCTTGGGCCTTCATCCCGAAGGCCAGCCTCCTCCACGCGACTGCGACGGGAAGTCAGAGCCTAAATTGGACTACTAGCTTTGGGATAGTGATCGCTAATTCTTGAAAAGTAGACAAAGGAGAGGAGGCAGCTAGGAACATTCCAGAGCAGGAAGGATGGTACAGAGCACACGGGTACACTCAGAAGTGTAGGGAGAAGAGGGTTGGGCAGGTGGTTCAAATGATAGAGTACGGGTCTAGAAATGTAGTGGTCTTCCCTCAGATGCCCTGTCTAGTCAGGGTTTACATCTACTACAATATGTCTAAATTTGTCTCCTGGTTTGTGGTTGTTGTTTTTGAAATTGGGTCTCATTATGCTTCTCATGTTAGTCTCAAACTCTCAAATTCTCTTGCCTCAGCCTCTGGTGTGTTGGGATTACAGGAATGTAGCACTGTGCCCTAAATTTGTCTCCTGAAATGTCTAGGTTCTCTTCTGATTTTTTTAAAATTTCTTATTCATAATAGATGTTTATTTTGGAGCCAAAATTTGGACGGCAACCCAAGATGGCACTGACATTGGCTTCTACTGAGTGGCAGATAGTATCATATGGTGATAACACAAGGGAGGGAGAAAAAAATGAGAATGAGAGAAGTAGCATAGCAAGAGAGAAAGGAAGAGCCTTTTAAAATATCTTGTGTAGATTTTCACTTCCCTTTAAATAACTGTTTTTCCACTTAACCACTGTCAATTAAAACATCAAGATGAATAGGTGAAAATAATCTAGAGAAATATTTTTTAGCCAGAAGATTTGTAGAAAGACTTAGGGCATCAATAAAATTAGGTTTCCAGTTAGGTTTGATTTTTAAACTCTCAAGTGATTCCTTAGAAGTGCTTTATATTTTGTATTCTTAGCCCATTATTGCTCTCTATGTGGAGCCTCAAAAACTGCCTTCCGGCCTTCACTTGTAAAATGTGGCAGAGTCACACTTTCCCTTGATAATCCATACCATAGGATGTTCTACTTCTATGTTAGGGTGGAAACTAAGTTGTTAGGAGTTTCCAGATGAGAACTGAACTGTGTGCCTCTGGAATGTAATAAGTCACTTCACTTCTTCTCTTTGGGCTTTGCAGGTGAACTGCGGCATCTACGGGAGGAGATTTCCCTATTAGAGCGTGAGAAAGAAAGTGAACTTAAGGAAATAGAACAGGAATTGCATTTGGCCCGATCTGAGATCCAGAATCTGCGGCAAGCCGCAGCAGATTCCGCAACTGAACATGAGAGTGACATGGCATCCCTGCAGGATGACCTCTTCAGGTTGCAGAATGAGCTCGAAGACATGGAACGCATTCGAGGGGATTATGAGATGGAGATCGCTTCACTCCGTGCAGAAATGGAATTGAAGGGCTCTGACCCATCTGAGAGTTTAAGTGTCTCAGAATTCCCTGGGTTGCAAGGTATAAAAGCAAATCCTCCTCCTGGTCTGTCAGCAAAGTTGAGTAGAGGACATCATATATAGGAAGGTGGATTTAAAAAAAGGCAAGGTTACATTATGTATTAGGAACCTCTAGAAAAATCCTTCAGGTTCAATTACAGACTGTAGGAGAGGAAAGCTTATCCAGCTGTTAACATTATTTGTCTGTGTTGGTATAAGAAGGAGCACCATGGAAATCTACCTTGGGGATTCATACCCGGAAAGCCATTTGGTACTTTCCAAGTTGACTATTGGAAAGATCTTCCTGGAAACATGTCCAGTTCTTTGATGAATGTACAAGGACCTGTCACCTTGGGAACCTTTTCCAGTTATATTGGCATCATGGCGCTTTGCCTGGACCACTTTAGGGGATTCTCCAGTTCTGTTTCCCAGGTCTCAACAGGCTAATTCTTAGGCTTCTTTTTCTCTCTCCAAAGCAAAAGTTTTAGGGAGTCAAAAATCAGAGTACAAGAACTGCTGGGAAGGAAGAGAGATTATTTCTCGTAATGCATGAGCTACTCAAAAGCTTTTAGCCTGATTTCAGACAGTCTTTCCCAGCTAGTTGCTAGAATTCATGGCAGAAAGTGTGTCTTTATTTTAGGCTAGATTTATAATCTGAGAATAATGGAGACCCTAAATTCAGCTAGGTCAAGCAAAGGTAATCAACAAGGAATCAAAGCACTGCAAGTTTTCCCAGCTGTGTCCCTCCTTTCAGCAGGGCCTTTGGACTAGTGGTTGCTGGGAGAGGGAGGCTAGCACAGGCAGAAGGCTTTGGCTAGAGTGAATCTGACCTGAATTCAGAAACAGGTTCACCCAGTAGCCAAATGAATTTTAGTTTAATTCTCTCTGTAAGCTCATTCCTGGGATATGGAACCCAACTGATTAATAAAATCTTACCCTTAAATAGGATATTAAGGCAGAAAGAGGGTTTGGGGTACATGTAGAGAAATTTGAATAGTTCCTTTAATAGTAAATTACCAATATTGACTTCTTAATTGTGCCAAGTATACTATGGTGATCTGTTTACAATTGAGGAAACAGGGTAAGAACTCTCAGGAAACTGCACAATCTTTGCAACTTTTTTTTTATAAATCTAAAACTATTCTAAAATTTAAGCTTTCGTTTTTTCTTTTTTCTTTATTTTATTTTACTTTTTTGGGTCCAGTTGTGGGGCCTGAACTCTGGGCCTGGGCACAGTCCCTCAGCTGTTCAGCTCAAGGCTAACGCTCTACCACTTGAGCCACAGCGCCACTTCCAGCTTTTTTCTTATGTGGGGCTGAGGAATCGAACCCAGGGCCTCAGGCATGCAAGGCAAGCACTCTACTACTGAGCCACCTTCCCAGCCCCTAAAATTTAAGTTTTCTAAAGAATAAAAATCCTTAAAAACTTTATAGGGAAAACGAGGGAAGGGGTAGCAAGTTTGACAAGAAATGTACTTATTACTTTACAGATACAACTCTAATCCCTCTGTATATCACCTTAACAATAAAAAAAAAACTCTATAAGGCTAATTCCAGGATTACATGAAATACTTACCCAAGGCCAAAACCATCAGTGCAAGGTTAGGTACTATTAAGATTATTAATTCCTTTCTTCCTTCTATGCTAATCTGCTGTAGTCTTAAGAATTTGATTAGAATAAAGAGGAAACATTAGAAGTGACTTTCAAGAGGTTGAGTTTTCAGAGCGTAAGATAGGTCTTGTGTTGTAATTAGGGTAAGGTAGTGTTTCTTAAATGTCAGTAACATTAGTGTCTAAGAAATATGATTCTTAATCATGAAGAAACAAAACATGGGTGTTTGTATGCTCACAGCATTAGAAAACATTGGTGACTTGTACTTAGGTACACAAGCTGGGCATCTCAAGGGGATCTCTTCTAATGCTTGTGGATGATATGCGGGTCTGACTATTGAGGTGGGCTTTTCTGTCAGTAGATAAAAGACAATTGGAAAGAACACTTAGGGCTGAAGGAGTGACTGTAGTGGAGTGCTTGTCTAGCATATGACAAGTCCTGGGTTTGATGCCCAGTACCACCAAACAAAACAAAACACAGAAAATCCAGGCAAGTGTCTCCAGTTGTTTCTGAAGAGTAAGGTCTGTCCATGTAACTTCTGACAGTTCACATTGCTCAGGGTTTGTACTAAAAACATGCCAAAAAGATAATTATAAATAGTTAAATGGAAGCTTTAAGGCTAGGGCCTGGCTTTGCCATAGGTCCAATCCCCTATATTTAAAAAAATAATAAAATTAATATTATATGCCAAAAATTTATTTAAACTCTGAAGAATTCAAGATCCTACTTTGTTTATGCTTTGAAGCATATGCATCTTCTAGGCAGATAAGAGAAGGGAAAGGATAGCAACCTGTAAAGGGACAAAGGTTCATCTCACTGAGAAATTTTAGAGGCTCTGTCTTCTAAGCCTCTGCATGTGGTATTTTTTTCTATCTCCAGAAAAAGAGAGCCTCTTCAGCCCTCTGCTTTTAGGTTTGGGGCAGGAAAATGAGGGGCTGGGTCATCAGTGCTTTTTACCCATGAGGGCCTTCCTCTCTGCTTGTCTTCTGCAGAAGAATTACAGCAACTGCGGGAACGCTACCACTTTCTGAATGAGGAGTACCGGGCCCTGCAAGAGAGCAACAGCAGCCTTACTGGACAGCTCGCTGAGCTGGAGAGTGAGAGGTACTGCCCTGAGGCAGGGAGGGGGACCTGAATGCAGGCTCTGCCTTGGGTGTTCCCTGGGAGGCAGAGGCTAGGGTAATGTTTCTCAGATCCTGAACCCAGTTCTTTCCACGGTATCCCAAGCATTTGCAGGCATGGCATTCCACACAGTTGTTCCAGGACTAAAGTTGAGTTTGAAGATTTCATTTTCTTCCATTTCTTGCTCTGGCCTAGAGTAGAGCAGAAAAGATTCCTTGTTTCCTACACAGATGTGATTCAGTGTAATGGCACTTCAGATTGGAGTTGGCTTGACACCAGATCCATCCTTGAAACCAACTTAACACTCTTAGGGTACTACAGAGCCAAAAGTGCCTGTGCAAATGAGCTAGAGACTTTCTATAATTTCTACCCTTGGTCTTAGCTGGAAGACTGAGAAACAATCTGTGTCTAAACATGTACATTTAAGAAATAAATCACGGGGCTGGGAAGGTGGCTCAGTGGTAGAGCACTTGCCTTGCATGCTCGAGGCCCTGGGTTCGATTCCTCAGCACCACATAAGCAAAAAGAAAAAAAAGCCAGAAGTGGCGCTGTGGCTTAAGCGGTAGAGTGCTAGTCTTGAGCTGAAGAGCT